GGAAAAAAATTTGCTTAAAGGAAGGACTCTGAGACTGATGAGAGTGATTTACTTTTCTTTTTTTTTCTTTTCTTTCTTTTTTTTTTTTTTTTGTAGAAGTTTTTGCTATAGGGCACATGCGCTCGCCAGAAAGAGAGAGAGAGAGACAGAAAGTGAGAAATCAACCCCCAGTGGGCATGGCCATGCCACAATCCCTTCTCCTCCATTTTCCTCTCGGGATCTTGAGCATGCACACACACGCACCCAGCATGAATTTAAGCCACTGGGTACAGGACTCAAACCACAGTCAACTACATGAGAGTCCAGCAACATAGCCATTACGCTAACTGCTGGCCCAGTGCTTTACTTTTCTATGTGCTTCTGCATTGTAGTTTGTAGTATTGACACCAGAGAGACATTGTGCACTTACTTTATTAGTGAGATTGTCCTCTGGTCCCAGAGCTCTAAGAACAAGTAATCAATTATTCACTAATCATTTCATTTAGAAAATATTTGCTGACTGCCAATGGGAGAATGTAATAAGGTATAGTGAGTATGCAAAGGAATACAGAATAGGTAGAAATGTTTATGAAACTTAGAATAGGCATGTGTGGTGGAAAAGAAGGAATGTGAAGAAAATGGGGAAGGAAGGAATTTAGAAAGATCACCTTAGGCAGTACTGGAAAGGTCATTGAGGCTGGAATCAAGAAAGTTTACAAATGTCGTGAGCCTCAAACTGGTCCTAAAGTGGAGAGTAAGAGAAATAAGTGGGAATGAGCTTTGGAGATGTTTTGAGGCCAGCAAGGAAGTCAAGTTACTGCTTAGACTAGGGACACTTGATGACATGTAGCAATCATTTGTGCCTGTGGTTGAGAATATTATTTCATAGGCATTGTTGAAAGTGGATCAGAGCATTAGCTTTGGAGTTATTTCTAGGTTTGAGGTTTTACATGGAGTCTCTGTATTGCCAGAATCCTCTCTATACCAAATTTTCCTGACAATTTCTATGCTTGAAGGTAGATGTGTCATCCATTAGTGTCCCTTTCCTTTACTCATTTCTCTTGACATCTTTGTGTAAGACAAAGGTCTCTATATGTAGACTCTCAGGGACCTTCCCACATCCCTAGAGAAAAAAAATGAATAAATAAAATGAGTGAAATTAATCAAGAAGTTGACGTGAAATGTCTTTATTTGGCAGAAGTCAAAGACTGTCATTACTTCCCCAAGTAGAGAAGGCAGAATCTAGGTAAATAAGGTTTTCCAGTGGTCACCAAGAAACAGGCCAGTATCTCAATGGTACTTGTGAAACAGTACATTAGCCACACCAGCCACCACCTTCTGAAAGGAAGCCTATGCCTATAGGGTAAAATCCTGGCCAAAGCTGTAAGCCAATACAAGCATCAACATATGGCCCATGGCCCAGGAGCTGTGAGAAGTAGAGGGACACACACATGTGGTTAACAGTCAACACAAGTTTAGCTTCTAAGACACAGGACAACACCCACATCCTGGCCCAAAGAGATCTCTGGGTTATTGCCATCAATACAAATAAGAAAAGAAGGATATACTGAGGAATAAGTGTCTGTGTGTCTGTGTACACACACAAAGTGACTAATTAGTATGGCAATGGCCAGCTTTTTAGTAACTCTTGCTGCCCTACTGCAATATGAACTTCTATTCTTTTGTCACCAAATATTAGCATTCCTTTTCTTTCCATTCATTCTTGAATTCATAAAATTTTAATGATTCTTAATTTTCAAAATGATTTTTGCCTCTAGAACAAAATTTTGTGTCTTTTTTTTTTGAAAAGCATCTCAACTCTTATATGAAGAGACAGAATTTTTCCAAGTACAGATCAGAGCAGATATGCATAATCAGGTAGCAGTTAGGGGAAAAGAAATGGGAGAGTGAGCAGAGAGACAGGTGAAAGATAAAATATTAAGTCAAGGGAAAGTTTTTTTCTTACTTAATTGAAAGAAATGTCCATTAAAAGCATAAAGAAAGAATAGCATTTTTCTAATAGCTACTGAAATAGACTTCAAAAATATTTTGTTAACAAAAATATTTTAATGTTAAATTACCTATAATATAGCTGTTTAAAATTACAACATGACTAAAAAATGCAGAAGTGCAAAGCAGAATTGCTATATTCAGATTAATTCTGATGGGGATTTTGTGAAAATTGTAGTATGGAAATTTTCACAAGTTTTTTTTTTTTTAATATAATTAGATTCAAGTGTGAAGATGCAAAGGGCATTTCACTCTTTTCTCCTGAGATTCAAGAATGAAGATGCAAAGGGCATTTCACTCTTTTCTCAATTCAAAATAATAATATCATGACAGACATAAACACTTTCATCAACGTAGCTGGAAAGAAGAAAGAGAAGGAGGGAGAGGGAAAAGGGAGGAAAGGAAAAAAATGGAACGAAATAAAATGAAAAAAAAAAACTAAAATGAAGAAAAGAGAAGAAGAGAAAGGAAAAATGAGAGAGGAAAGAAAATGAAGGGATAAGAGTAGCAGTTCAAATCTGGGTGTCCATCTATAATAGATCAACAAAAACTCTCAAACTTTAGGTGAGAATTTAAATGGTATAACTGCTTTGGAAAACATTTATTAGTATATACTAAAGCTGATTATGTATATGCAAAATCTCTAGTGGAGATTTGTAAACCTGAGATTAGCATTGTCTCTAATTCATTCAGATTTTTTTTCAATTGTTTTTCTCTTTTTTTTTTTTTTTTTTTAGAGGATTTTTTGCTATAGGGGGGGGGCGCTTGGCAGAGAGAGAGACAGAGAGACAGAAAGCAAGGAATCACCCTCCATGGGGGGTTGGCCACGTTGCAATCCCTTCTCCTCCATTCTCCTCTTGGGATCTTGGGCACACACGCACACGCACCTGGTGTGAGTTTAAGCCGCCAAGTCTGGGACACGAACCGCAGTCGACTACGTGGGAGTCCAACAACATAGCCATTATGCTAACTGCTGGTCCCCAATTGCTTTTCCGCCCTCTCCATCTGCCTTAGTTAGCTCAAGCTGCCATAATAAAATGCCTGACTGAATGGCTTAAGCAATAGAAATTTATTTATCATATTTCTAAGAAGGAATCTAGGGAGACCAAGATCAAGATGCTAATCTATTAGGTTCCATATAAGGGTTCTCCTCCTGGCTTGCAGAAATCTAGTAACTTGCTATGTCTTCATTAGAAAGAATTCCTTGTGAAAATTTCCTATGAAACAAATCCCACATTGGGTAGATCTACTTCCATAAGGTCGTCTAAACCTAATTACTTTCCAAAAGTCCCACCTTCAAATAAGGTCATGTTGAAGTATGTAGCACCAGTATGTTAGTTTCCGGGAAAGACAAACATTTGACTCATAATACCACCACATCACATTCTTGCTCATAAATATTCATTAGCTTCCAGTAATATAAGAACTTCTCAGTGAATCTGCACTCCCAGTAACAGTAATCTATGTAAATTTTCTGGTTTTTTTTTTTTATTTTTTATTTTTTTGCTATAGGGCATGTGTGGTTATTGAGAGAAATCACAGCCCCACCCAGGGTCAAAGTGACCACACCTAATCTCTTCTCCTCCACCCTCCTCTCAAGATTCTGAGCATGCATGCACACAAGCCCAGCATTTTTTTTTTTTTTTGAGAGGTTTTTGCTATAGGGCACGTGTGCTTGCCAGAAAGACAGAGACAGACAGATAGCAAGAAATCACCCCCCAGGGGGATGGCCATACCACACAATCCCTTCTCCCCCATTCTCCTCTTGGGATCTTGGGCATGCACGCACACGTGCCCGACATGAGTTTAAGCCACTGGGTCAGGGACTCAAACTGCGTTCAACTACATGGGAGTCCAGCAACATAACCATTATACCAGCATGTTTTTCAAGCTGCAGGGTCCAGGACTCAAGCTGCTCAGCAGCCACATGGTTTCCAGTCACCATCTGGCTGTCCCCTCACTTTCTTTTGATACCACAATGCTGGGCTATTGTGTGAATATGGCATGCTGTTGTTGGTTTCTGACCATTGCTGGTTCATTTGTCTTACTTAAATCTCCAACTCCTCTGAAAACTTAAAACTCTTTTTCTGGTAATGCTGTAGTCAATCTGTACACTTGACCATTGTTTCTCCTTAGGGCATGAGATCAGTTTAATCTCCTAGGCATGACTTAACACTTAAAATAGATGGGACCAGCAGGTGGCATAGTGGCTAAGGCACTGGACACTCCCACATGGCCAGCCATGGTTTGAGTCCCGGACCTGGTGGCTTGCTTTCCCACTTTCTCTCTCTCTCTGTTTCTCTCTGGTTAAATTAAAATAAATGAATAAATAAATAAAATTAAATAAATAATTTTTTAAAAAATAGAAATTTCCTCAATAAAGCAAGGACCAAATTCTTGAATTTAACTGGGGGGGGCGGGGAACTATCTTTCAATCTGACTTAAAATACCTCCAAATCCTATCTAGCCTCACAAGAGGTGTGAAAAACCAGACATTCTTAGAAATTGTTGCATAAAATAGTGTGGGATTACAATCCCTGCCTGGTTTGTAATCTTCTAAAGTCTGAACAGTTTGTCTCCATTGGCTTCCTCCTTGCTACTCTGCCTCCGTCCAGTCCCAGAGGCTTCCCTCAGATAAGCCCTCTTTCCTCTAAACCATCTGGTTGTGAGGAGTCCTTGTCCCATAGAACCTTCCTTCCCAGTAAGACTCCCTACAGCTTTTGCTTTCACTGACAGAACCTTCATACACATGCTATTTTTATTGTCTTGTTCTTTTATTCTTTCGACAAAATCCATATTTTATCAAAATAAGTGGGGAACAGACACACACACACACACACACACACACCCCTCAACAGAAATTCCCTAGGATTTGAAAGCACGTGGAAAAAGAACCGAAGACAATTACATATGATTCCTTAGCAGAATGGTTTTATTATTTTTGTTGTTACAGAAATATTTTGTTTTTACTTGAAAAACAAAGCTTCTCCCTGCAAATTCTACATTGTGGGTAAGAGGATCAATGGTATTTATGGGCCAGGGCAGTGGCCACTCCAGACACCATCTTCTGCCAGGCAGCCTGCACCTGGGGAGTGAATTCCTTGCCAAAATGGTTTGCAAGAACAACCAGTAGCACATTTCCCAGGAGCTGTGGAGATGGAAAGAGACAAGAGATATGTGCACTGAATGAGAAGACAGCTCCAAACTAGCCTCTAGATACATGGATATCCAACTCCCACTCAGAACTATGTCAACTACCCTCAAAACCTGGGGTTTAGCTCAGTCAGTGCACACGGTTTGATCTACTTTCAAGACTAATCACTGGCCATGACTTAAATCTATCTTCTTATCACCACCAACCTCACATTTCATAGGCTAAAAGCAAAGCCAAATGAAACCTCACATTTATCTTTTCAAACTAAAAATATTGTCTCTCTCCTCCGAGTTGCATTGTTCCTCCTAAAACTATAAGATCTAAGTTTGAAATGAAGCGCTAACAGAATTTTATCAAAGGCTCAGCCAATGCAGAAATAAGTTTAGTGATGTGTATCTGGCCATCCAGCTAGGTTCCTTCCTCTTATTGAGCCAACATATATGTTCATCGACACATAACCATTCCATGACCATTCTTTCTCTGCATCTAGCAGAGTGAAAAAAATAAATTAAAGGCCAAAAGAAAACAGAAAAATACTTTTCTATAGGATTTTAACAAAAGTCATTTTCCTCAATGCTATAAAAATCTGTTCTGTAAGCCAATAGAGTATATGCAAGTTTCTCTAGGCCTCTAGAAGAATTAGTGAGGCCTTAACAAATTACAAACATAGCCACAGCTAACGTTGTCCTCTGTAATTTCTTTACTTCCAGTCTCAGTAGATCCAAATACCTTAAGCCCTGCAGGTGGCCGTGGTTATGGTCATTTTCTCAACTCTAAGGCAAAAAGCAAGATGACTAGAGCATCTCCTGTACTCACCCTAAAGTTTTCAGGATCCACATGCAGCCTGTCACAGTGCAGCTCACTTAAGTGGGCAAAGGAACTTTTGAGATCATCCAGGTTCTTTACAGCTTCTCCAAAAGAAGTCAGCACCTTTTTGCCATGGGCTTTGACCTTGGGGTTGCCCATGATAGCAGAGGCAGAGGACAGGTTGCCGAAGGTGTCAAAGAACCTCTGAGTCCATGGGTAGACAACCAGAAGCCTATGAAATGAGACAATAGCAATTAAAAAGTTAGAGGCTATCACAAAGTCTAAGAGGTAGCCTGGATTCCTGACATGCATGGATACTTTCTTTCCCTCCCTTGATCTGAACCTCAGAACTTACCTTCCCAGGGCTTCTCCTCCAGCCTCATCCACATGCACCTTGCCCCACAGGCCTGTGATAGTAGCCTTCTCCTCTGCTGTAAAATGAACCATGGTGTCTGGTCCAGGAGCTTATTCTCAAATGCTGATAATCTCAGAAGAAAGTATACGCAGCTACTAGAAGATACGTCCTTTTATTCTTCATTCCTAAACCCCTGGCCCCTTGCCCCATCTGATTCTCCAAGGCTATTGGTCAAGGTTATTTTGTAAAGGCTATTGGTCAAGCCATGGGTGGAGTTTAGGCAAAGAAAGGTTCAGACAGACATTTGCACTGAGATAGCGTCAGGAGGCCCCCCAGCCCAAGAAGATGGCCTTTCTTAAGGATTTTTTTTTCCTTTTCTTTTTTTGCCTTGCCACTATCTTAATTAATGATCCAAATTTTTCTATCATTTGTTCTTCCCTTTACTTAGTTTCTTTCTCCATCAAAAAATATTCTGGGTTTGTTTTTGTTTTTTTTCCCACCTTTTCCTACACTCTTATCTATTGCTCCAGAAAGCCTATAGATTCAAATGAAAGCACAGGCAAATATGTCAAAAGTTCAGAGATTGTAAACTTCTTCTAGGCACAGGTCCGAATCTATGAGGGGACAAATGTACTTCTTGGTCAGTTAGAAGTGCTTCTAAGGGATAAATATTGTACTATTCTTTGAATACATTCTCTATTAAGTCCATCATCATCCTAGTTCACAATAGTCTAGGAAAAACAAGGCATTGGTTCCAATATAAGAATAGATTTATATTCAGTAATATAATATACAACTAACACCTCAGAATCGACTGACTCGTATCTGTTTGTAATAAAGTACATCTGCTTTGTCTGGGCAAAAATATTTCCCTGCACATCAACGTGTGTGTGTAGTCACCAGATGATGTGTGCTTCCACTGGGTAAGTGCTGGCTGGGGATCCAGATTTTGTGTAGCTCTTCTATGCTCAGTGTAGACAGTGGAGAAAGGTTTCTTGGAAAAGACTCGGGATTCAAATTATCTCTGATAAATCAAGGGTTGCTTTTCGATCACTTGCACTCTAAGACATAATGTTAGAAATTTCTTCCTCTGCTTCCTTTTGTGGACTTATAAAATAATTGTAAGGAAGCAGACCTAGTTTTATTGACTAATAGCCCACACGCTGTCACAGATGGGATATCACCGCAGTTTAGAAGCCTTAATCTCTAACTTCGGTACTATTTTTGTCATGTCATGCCCCTAATCTTACACAGCAGGAAGAACTCATGCTTTTTTTTTTTTTTTCTTTTGTTCTCTGAAAGTAATCAGTGATCTTAGATCATACTGTAACATAATGCTTACCGCTTTGGTAGTCTGGCTTGATGTTTGACTCTGTGGACAAACCTGTTGATCAAAAAAGAAAAGAACATTAAGATTTTTTGTTTCTCTTTTCAATCTTATGCAAAAAGATGTTTCTGCTAATGAATGAAGAGACTTTTAATATTTTATATGCCTTTTGAACTTTGTAAATTAATATTTGGATACTTGAAAAATTGCATTATTATGTAATTTTAAAAATTATGCTGTATATTAATGTTAGTTGAAACATATTTATACTGTCTAGATACATGTGGTGATAGTTCTGTTGATGAAATAATTTGTCAGTGTTCAACAGTTTGTAAAACCTTAGTGCAAGAGCTTAAATATCTAAATAAATAATGAAATGTATTTTTAAAAAAAAATTACCCATGCATATTTTTAGGAGAAAATTTTATCTTTAAATTAGTTTATCTTCTAATCTACCAGGTTGACCAATATTATAATAATATAGAGAAATTGTTATAGTCTTCACAACCTCATATAAAGCCTATATCTATTCATGGATAGGGATAGCTAAAAGGTCAGGAAGATGAAATTGTCAAGACAGTAATGAATACTTCAGTTATAACAGCAATGACTTATGACTTCTTTCATACTAAGAGTGGATAGGGAAATTTTCAATGGTATGGAGGTATAGTCTATAAGTACAGACTATTGTGAACTAGGACGATGATGGACTTAATAAAGAATTTATTCAAAAAATAGCACAATATTTCTCCCTTGGAATCACTTCTAACTGACTAAGATATACATTTGTCCCCACAGAGATTTGGACCTGTGCTTAGAAGAAGTTCACAATCTGAAATCAATCTGGGTTATAGTAATTTTTTAAAGACTTATTTTTTATTTATCATCACCATTATTTTTAATTTGCTACATGACAGGTGCATTTACCAAAGAGAGAATAGAGGGTGAGGGTGGGGGGTAAAGAGAGAAAGAATGAGAAAAAAAGCAAGCTGCCAGGTTGGGACTTGAACCATGGCTGGCCATGTGGGAGACTGACACTTAACTACCACACCACCTGCAGGCTACAGGTTAGAATAGTTTTAAGACAGAGTGCCCTGGGACCAGCGGGTGGCATGATAATTAAGAGCACTGGACTCCCACATGGCCATCAAGGGCACTGGACTCCCACGTGGCCGACTGTGGTTTGAGTCCCAGACCTGGTGGCTTGCTTGCTTTCTCACTTTCTCTCTCTCTTTCTCTTGTCTCTTTCACTCTGTCCCTCTCTGCTCAAATTAAACTAACTAACTAAATAAATAACGTTAAATAAATAATTCTTTAAAAAATAAAAAAAGGACAGATGTCTTGAGGCCAATGGGTGGTATGGTGGTTGAGGCACTGGACTCTCATGGCCAACTGCAGTTTGAGTTCCAAACCTGACAGACTGCCTTCTCACTTTCCTTTTCTCTCTCTTGGTCTCTCTCTGGTGAGTGTAAGTTTTAGAAAAAATAATAATGCAGGACTGGAAGGTGGTATGGTGGTTAAGTTGCTGGACTCCCATATGGTCAACTGTGGGTCAGCTGACCATGAAGCTTGCTTTCTCACTTTCCCTTTCTATGTCTCTCTCTAGTCAAATTAAAAGAAAATAATAATAGGAACAGTAGATGGCATAGTGGTTATTTTGCTAGACTCCTATATAGTTGACCATGGTTCAAGTCCTGGACCTGGCAACTTAAATCTCAAGCTGAGTGTGTGTGTGCATGCCCAAAATTCCAGGAGGAGAATGAATGAGAAGAAATTGCAATGTGGTCATACCCTCTAGGGTAGTTTCTCACTTTCTGTCTCTGTGTCTCTCTCTGTCTTTCTGGCAAGAGCACATATCCTACAGCAAAGAAAAAAACTCTCTCAATAATAATAATAGTTAATAAGATTAAATAAATAATGCTTTAAAATAGCAATAGTAATAGTAATAAGTAAATAATAAATAATTCTTTAAAAGAAAAAGACAGAATGTCTTTATTTAAGTATATACTTTGAAATAGAAGAGTGAATTTCAAATGTATACAGCAAAAGTAATGATAAATGCTTGAGATAGTAGATATGTTTAGGTATGTCCAGCACCCTTAATTACCATGCCACCTGCTGGCCCTAGGATATTCTGTCTTAAAATTACTTTAAACTGTGGCCCATTGTAGATATGTTTATTGCCTTATTTTGATCAATGGACAGTGAATACATGTTTGGTAAAACTACACTCTATCCCATAAATATGTACAACTATTATATACAAATTAGAGATTAAACTAATAAAGTAATAATTTTTAAATTAATAGTATGTTTTTAAGATGAGTGTATATAGATCTATGATCATATCTGTAACCCTATTAAGTTCAGTTATAATACCTGGCCTTAGTGGATGACTCAGAGGCCGGTGTCTGATCCTTGAAAGCCTTAACAATTCAATGAATCTTAATTGCTCTTCCTCAGACTAAAAAATATCTATGATCCCTCAAGTCTACATTTTCCCTGCTTTTCCAGAAACCCAGACAGTAACCCAAAAGTCATCTGTAACCACTGCCTTCCTCTATGCTTTGTCTCCTTGCTTGTAACTGTTTGCTCTTTCATTTTTCCCATCTCATTACTTCTGAGATGATCTAAATCCTCACCTAGAAACCTGTTTCTTTTTTTATAAAAGCCGTTTCATAGTCTTTCGAATACATGTTCCATATGTGTTCAAACATTCATTCAATAGCTATTTGTTGAATAAGTATGAGGAAAATGTAAACTAAATAAGTAAACCAATCGACAAGATAATTTCATTTATTATTTATTAAGAAAAGTTTAATATCTTGACTTGAAGATAGTGGAATAAGCTTATATCAGAAATAGTCTGTTTAAGTAAGAATTATTGGAGATGTGCAGAATGACAAAAAAAGAACCTGCTATGGGAAGATACTGGGGAAGAATGTTTAGAAGTTGCAATATCAACTTCAAAACTAACTCTTTTTTTTTTTTTCAATTTTTTTTTTTTGGAGAGGTTTTTGCTACAGGGCACATGCGCTCGCCAGACAGACAGAGAGAGACAGAGAGACAGAAAGCGAGAAATCACCCCCCAGGGGGGATGGTCACACTGCAATCCCTTCTCCTCCATTCTCCTCTCAGGATCTTGGACACGCACGCACACGCGTCCGGCGTGAGTTTTAAGCCACAGGGTCCGGGACGCGAACCGTGGTCGAGTATGTGGGAGTACAATGACATAGCCATTACGCTAACTGCTGGTTCCCAAAAACTAACTCTTGTTGTGCTATATAGGTTTATAAATGGGCTAGCAAAGTTTATATGCAAATAATAAAATGAAGAATGGTAGATTATCTTGTTGCAGAAGAAACATATGCTTAATGACATAGAACTTGTATTCAGTGATAAGGAGAAGACATTACAGGATTTTAACATAATCTCTAAACTCTCTGTACTCTTAGCTAGATTAATATTCTAAGGATATTTGGTTTAACTATGACAGTTTTGTTCAGGAAGCTTTCATTTACAGCCAAAAAGAACTAGTCATCCTTTCATCTATTACAAATCTTAAGTCACCCAGAGTGTGTGTGTGTGTGTGTGTGTGTGTGTGTGTGTGTGTGTGTGTGAGATCCAGACCTGTGTGTGTATATGCATGATTATAAATTTGTTTTCAATTAACTTGTCTATCTAAATCCAGCTCCCTAAAGGTTTACAAATTTGTCTTGCCCCTGCCACTCCGTCATCCATCCTTGATATCTTACATCCTGAACTAGAATAATAGTTGGAAGCAAGACATATAAAAAGAGATTGATTAAAATTTCATATGTTTTTTTATTCCTTGACTGACTGGGTGGAAAGATTTAATGCCATCAATAGTTCCTGTTTATTCTGTTTAGAGACATATAAAGAAGCCATAGGAATCAGAGAGACAGATATTATTGATAGCCTGCAACTACTATAATCAATGATTTCTAATCCTTATTGTGGTAACATAAAGACAGGTTAAAAAGTAATTCACAAAAAAAATATGTTCGGTGTTTGAGGGAATACCTAATAACAGTTGTATTTGTAAAGATATGACACTCTAATTTGTAGAGTATAAAGTTCTAAAGCATAAAGCTCTGAACCTTTGAAATAAGAGTTTGACTCAGAATCCAAAGGACAAGATTCCCTCAGAAACCTAGCACTTCCTCAATAGTAAGTCAGTTAATATTACTCCAACGTGAGAGTCCCCAGGTTGGTGCATGGCCTCCTCGTGACTGTAAGTCACCCAGGCTGGGAACTTGAATCACCTAGCATCTCCTCTGTCCTTCTCATCCCTCCTAATCTACCAGATACCACATCTTCCTCAATTTACCATTGTCCATCCTTCCTTTTTTTGCAGACCTCACTATTCCTTTTTGACTTAAGTCATTATGTTTATTTCCTTGGATCACAGCATCCAAATTTAGTCTCTGAAAATTTTGAATTCATTTTGTGTACATAAAAAATCATATTCCTTTAGCCATTTAACATTCAAAGAATACCTATTGTTTACTATTGCCAAAAGCAGTAGTAGTAACTTGAATTGTGTAGTCAAAGCCCTGTACTACTTGGTCTTTTCTAATATTCTACCCATGTCTTACTCTGCAGTCTACTTCTAAAGATCTAGTGTCATGCGAATCACTGTCACAATTTGTTGGTTTTAGACTATGAACTTTGTTATCTGATACATGAAGTCTTCATCATTCCTTCTCAAAATGTTCTAACTTAGTTCTTCACTCTATTTTAGTACATGTTATATTCTATTAGAATATTTATATATACTTGCTGTCTTTGTTATTATATCTTATGGGGACTTTTTCTGTAAAGTTCCCAGCTATTACTCAGCTCACCCTCTTAACTTCATATTAGTCTCACAAAACATGGAGTCTAGTTGCTTCAAAATGTACACTGGAGTTAGTTAAAGTAGCAATATTAGCCTAGACCTTGGATCTCTACAAAGCTTTTTTCTTATATAGTGAATTTAGCATGTACCATAAATCTACTTTCTCAAGTAGAGAAAGTACATCCCCTCTGCAATAAGTTTTTGCCATATTGCCCTATGAATCTTTGTCCTTTCAACTACCCTTTTCTCCACCCCCAGAGAACTTCATCTTGGGATCCTCCTTTGTCCTTTCAAATTCTCCCATAATACCCACCTCAGTTTAGAGAATCCTCACACACTTAAATGAACTTTTGGTTCTTCCTATCTCTCTCCTTTTTCCTTTAACATACAAGTATAAAATGAAGATTAAAACACCATTTTTGATGATTGAATAGAACACATTTTATTAAACAGAAGCAGTGCTTTCGTGGCTGAGGTGTCCTCGGCTGCAAAGAAGGATGTCAGAGACACACAGGAGCACCGATGAAGCAAAGTAGGACTCAGTGGTATTTGTGGGCCAGAGCAATGGCAACACCAGCCACTAGCTTCTGCCAGGCAGCCTGTACCTCAGGGTTGAATTCTTTGCCAAAATGAGAAGCCATAACAATCACCAGCATGTTACCCAGGAGCTGTTAGGTGGAAGACAAAATAATACAGAGACAGGTTTACCAGGAGGTTCCAAAAAGATTTAGCAGGAAAAAATGACGTCATACCTACAGTCTCTGACAACACCCCCTACAAACTGCTTAAAGTGTTCTGCCCATCCAGTATGCTCAGATCAGCTTAAATATTTTTATGAATCCTCTACTCAATATTCAGCCTATCTATATCCTCACCTTCTCTTCCTATTTCACTATTTTTTTTATTTCCCTTTCTTTCTCATTCGCCAATTCCATAATATCTGTAGACATAGCATTTAACTGCTGGAAGAGTTTTCAGTAAGATTTTTAAATCTTCACCAATGCAAGAATAAGTCTACATGTGGACACAAAATTGACAGAGAATTTAATATATTTTAGAGAATTGGTTGTATTTTTCTTTCAGAAAAAGTGTCTTTAAATTTTTTGCATGTTTTTTTTTTAATTTCAGTCATTAGGATCCACATAAATAAAACATTTCCTTTGAGACAGATCTTAATCTTGCAAAAGTCAAATTCCACTTACCTTCTGTAATATTACTCTCCAGGATCAACATTTCTAGTTCTGACAATATTTTCTGAAAGTTTTAAGCAAATTCAGGCTGCTATCACTGTTTCTGAATTAATTCGGTATTGGAGCTCCCCACCAGAGTTTTGTCCTTCTGAGTTACCCTTGAGTTATGAGATCTTTGTTGATCTTTTCAATCAAAGTCTCTACTTCCCTTACTATTCTAAAGTAAAAAGCCAAAAAGAACACATGAGCATTTCCTAAACTTACCTTGAAGTTCTCAGGGTCCACATGCAACTTGTCACAGTGCAGTTCGCTCAGCTTTGCAAAAGCACTTTTGAGATTGTCCATGTTCTTAATGGCATCTCCAAAGGAAGTCAGCACCTTCTTGCCGTGGGCCTTGACCTTGGGGTTGCCCATGATGGCAGATGGAGAGGAAAGGTTGCCAAAGCTGTCAAAGAATCTCTGGGTCCAGGGATAAACAACCAGAAGCCTAGGAAATGGTACCATAGCAGATTAAAAATTAGAGCTGCTCAAAAATCTTGAGGACTTTTCCTGGTAATTTTGCCAAGATCTTATTCACCCTTCTCCCTCATGCATTGAGAATCAATGTTTACCTGCCCAAGGCTTCATGTCCAGCCTCTTCCACATTCACCTTGCCCCACAGGCTAGTGATAGCAGCCTTCTCTTCAGCAGTAAAATGCACCATGGTGTCAGGTCAGGGATCTTGCTGGCAATCACAAATGAACCAGAAGCAAGTCTATGCTGCTGGTGGAAGGTGTGGCCTTTTATTCTTCACTGCTGAAGTTCTGGCCCTTTGTTCTCCGTGGTACTTTGAAGTCATTGGTCAAGTTTAAGCTGGGTCCCTCAGAGGTGGAGCTAAGTCAGGAAAGGGTCAGCAGTGAGGGTTGTACATTGAGTTTGTGATAACATGTGTTGGGTCTTCAGAAATCCTTCCACTTTTGGCTCCTATTCTATCTGTAACACAGTTTTTCATTCATTCCTCCTTTTCACCCTATTAACTCCCTGTGTCATCTTCCATCTCTTTCACTTCCTTTTCCAAGAAAGACCCATAAAGAGAAGCTTAGCCCCAAATAGAAAAAAAAAAAATAGGAGAAAAGGTTTAGTCAAAGTAGGTTTAATATTTGGATTAAGGACGGTGCTAGTGCTAATAACAAAGTCAAGAGAAAGGAAAACTGACAACACAGAATCTCATCTGCTGGTCCACCATCCACATTTTTTATAATGAAGGAAGAAAGTCATAAAGGTGTAAATGTCAAGACAACAGAGCTGGCAATTGAGGGAATAATGAAAGCAGAATTGCACAAGTTCTCTCTTTGTTAATTCTAAAATGCCCCCCCATACCACCATAATATAGTTCTGAGATCCAGACAGGGACCCTAAATATAGTCAGGGTATTGGCCCAAAATGGAATCACAAAAATGGCTAAGCTTTAAGATAGAGACACAACAGCTAGCAGCAGTTCAACTCCCAATGAACTACTGCTCACAATAAATAGCTTGCAACAATAATTCCATAATTAACCTATGCAGCATGACTTACAGCAATCACAGCAATTTTGGCTTTTTCCAGGGTCCAGTACATAATGGAACCTGGATATGGCCTTCAGGGACCAAAGCTTTCAAACATACTCAAGCAAACATTGACTACTAGGTAACGATCTGTGGGCTGAAGCTCTCAAAGACTTGAACATTTACCAAAGTTTCCTAAGTGTACAGCTTCTTAAATGTATAGTACGACATAACCAGTATGTGACTTCCATAGGGACAAAGCATGAACAAGAGCTTGAATGAAATCCCCTGAATAAGAGCCGAAAATCTGCAACCCACTTGTAAGAATCTCTCCCTGCTCAGGGAGCTATTCTCTTCTTTAATAAACTCTGTATCCTGAATCTCTAATGCTTCTTGAGTATGAGACAAAAAGTAGGTCCTGCACTGCTGTCACGTCCTCGCACTCCATTATCCCATATAGTTGTTTCTGCAAAATTCCTGTTCCAGTTAGTCTTTCAGCTGTTTTTTTTTTTTTTTCCTTTTTTTAGAGAGGTTTTTGCTATAGGGTGCATGCACTCGCCAGACAGAGAGAGACAGAGAGATAGAAAGCGAGAAATCACCCCCCCTGGGGGGATGGCCATGCCACAATTCCTTTTCCTCCATTCTCCTCTCAGGATCTTGGGCACACGCACACACGTGCCCGGCGTGAGTTTAAGCCACCAGGTCTGGGACTCAAACCGAGGTCAACTACATGGGATTCCAGCGACATAGCCATTACGCCAACTGCTGGTCCCAAGTCTTTCAGCTATTTCTTTCTTTTTTTTTTTTTAGAGGTTTTCACTATAGGGCGTGTGCGCTCGCCAGACAGACAGAGAGAGACATAAAGACAGAAAGCGAGAAATCACCCCCCAGGGGGGATGGTCACGCTGCAATCCCTTCTCCTCCATTCTCCTCTCGGGATCTTGGGCACGCACGCACCCGCGCCTGGCGTGAGTTTTAAGCCACCGGGTCCAGGACAGGACCCGCGGTCAACTACGTGGGAGTCCAGCAACATAGCCATTACGCTAACTGCTGGTTCCCTCTTTCAGCTATTTCTATCCTTCCCTATCCCAATCTTCTATTGCACCCTTGACTCTTGTCAGTTCTGGAGGTTTCTTTTCCTATAGTTTATTGTATTCTGTTGCCTCCAAATGCTTTTGGCTTTATTTTGCTTAACAGTACAGCTTCTGTCTTCCAGGGTTAATGCTCATTGGGTCTTCATATTACAAATTTACCCAGAACTCTTCTCTTCTCTGCTATTCTGCCTTTGTATTTATGATCTTTTCTTACGGATGTGATGAAACAAACAAAAACAAAAACAAACAAACAAAAACCTTTTGGCACATGAACATATTCTCCTTCCCTTTATTCTATGATTTTAGACTTTTTTTTTTTTCCTGATTAAATAAATCTCCGCAAGTTAGTATTACCCCAGGTCACTGAATCCTTCCCCCCACCATCTATTTGTTTAGCTTTTAAGCAAGAATACCTTTCTGGACATAAATACATGTGTGTGTGTATGTGTGTGTATGTGTGTTTGTATGCTAGAAGGCATGTGCACTCACTAGAGAGAGACAGAAAGGTGGAAAGACAGGGAGAGGAGAAAATACCTCCCATGAAGAATGGTTATGCGACAATCCCTTCTCCATCTCTTTCTTCTTTCAGATTTTGAGGGCACACACACACACACACACACACATCTGGAATATTTATCAGGCTGCTGGGTCTGGAACTGCAACCACACAGTTGGTCGTGTTTTTTTTTTTAGGATCCAGTTACCTTAACCATCAAGAAGATAGGGAGCCAGCCCTCTGGGTATATTTTCCTTTTTTTAAAATTTTTTAAATTAATTCATTTAATTTATTTATTACATTTTCCTGCAAACATTCATTTTGCATATCAAAAATTTTGCTCATAGTTCTTGAAAGTTAATAGAGAAACAACTTTCAAAATTTCAAAAAAACTGAATTTTAGAGATAACTTTCAAAATATTTGTCTAAATTTTGTTTCTGACTCTATAACAGAGATAGTATGGTTTTCAATATTTTTGAGAAAATACTTACATATCCACTACTCAAACTGCTGAAGAGCAAACACCCAGCACACAATTCACATATGAACCTTCCCAACTCAGTTCTGCCTACCAAGTAGTCTGTAGTTTATCATCTGCTAGCAAATATCAGTCTCTTCTTTCTTCTTTCAAAGACTTCCTCAAGGTAATCCTCTGGTTGTGGTTGATCTTTTGCAATCTATACTGATTACAATGCTGGATTAGAAAAGTCTAGGTTATTTTATGGTTTGAATTCTTTCATATGGCTCCTCCTATCCTCTTTGCCAGACAAAACTTTTTATGGTGCCAGGCATCTTTCCAAGAGCTTCTATTGGCTTTATTGGGATCTACCTTAGTTCCATAGCTTTCTCGTCATACCTTCAGATTTGACATTCCAGTCAAAGCCCTGGCAATAACAAGTATTTCCAATTTCTGATGCAAGACAACAGATACTTATGCAAATAACCCTTCTGCCACAAAATAAAAATACCCACAAATATTTTTCAATTCCAGAGGGTCTAGGAAGTGACAAAAGTAAATTAAAAAAACAAACAAACCAACCAACAAAAAAACAACATTTTAACAAATTGCTGAATCTAACAACAGCTCAAAAGAAAGCAAAATCCTTAAATCTAGAAAACAAAGCATAGAAGAAAATCAGTAATGTTTTAGTCAAATGTCATAAAATTCTATTTCACCAGTTTAGTCTCATGTAGTTAATCTCTCTCTGTTGAATTTGCAGTATTACCGTGGTCCAATCTTTCTGTTTAAATCCTGGTAGTTAACATTCAATGTTCTTGTTGCTATTTCCGGACTTGTCCCTACCACTAAACTAATCGTTTTCTTGGTTGCTTTTGTTCTCTTATTTCTGTCTGTCTGTCTTTAGTTTTCCTGGGATAGTACTCCCTTCAGAACTTCTTGGAGATAGTCTAGTGTTGGTAAATCCTTTCAGGTTTTGTTTATCTGAGAAATGTTTTTTATTTTTTCTTCCCATATGAAAAATAATCTTGCCAGGGATAATACTATTGCTTGAAATTATTTTTCGTTTAACACTTTGAATCTACTTTTTCATTCTTGCCTTGATCACATTGTTTCCAGTGAGAGGTCCGATGTTAACCTGGTGGGATAACTTTTGTAAGTAACCTGATGTTTCCCTCTTGCCAATTTTAGTATCTTATCTTTGTCTGTAGTTTTGGCCAATCTGGCTATGACGTGCCTTTGAGAAGATCTTCTTGGGTTGATTCTATTAGGGGTCCTTTATATTTCTTGGGTCTGGATATTTGAATGCCTCACTAGATTTGGAAAGTTTTCTTCCAAGATTTCATGGAATAGATTATCAATGCTCCTATCAGTTTCTTCACCTTCAGAGATATTGATTATCTGGATGTTGGGGCGCTTGATGGTGTCCAGTATTCCTCGTATATTATCCTCATTTTTCATGGTTGTTTTCTCAATCTTCTTGATACTTTTTTCTAGGTCAGAGGTTTTGTCCTCAACATCCGAGATTTGATCTTCTGCATGGTCTAATACACTTTTAGTACTTTGAGAGAGGTTTTGATTTCCTGTATTACAGCCTTCAGATTTGACATTGTATCAGCTCTATTTGATTCTTTTTTATGGCATGTATTTCTTTTCAAATTGTGGAAGAACTTTCTCACCTCCTAGAACCCATTGTCTCCTTTCTCTTGCACTTTCTAGAGTTCATTGTCTCTCATTTCTTAACTCTCATTTAGTTTTGTCATTATGAATATTCTAAATTCTCTATCAGTCATTTCCATGAGTTCCATTTTACTGTCTGTGTATGATGAAGGGTTGCTCTTCTCCCTTGAGGAAGAGATATTTTCTTGGTTTCTCACATTTCTTGCACTTCTGCTGTGGTTTCTGGTCATTTGATGGGTTATGTTTCTTTCTTATTTATTTGAGTTAATTCTGAGTAATCAGAGATGCGTGGAAGGAGGTCATTTGTAATCTCTCTGCAGTTCCATTTCCCAGATGCTCATTAAGCAATCTGTACTTTTGACTTTGGAACTGGGTATTACAAAGGCCTTATAATTTCTAGGGAATAGATGCACCTGGGCCAAGCTGTGGGGTTTTAACTGAGAGCTCATAGGCATATGGGAGGAGATGAGCTGTGCTCTCTCTGCAGCTCCATGCTTCACCCTCCTGCTCACTATGCAGTCTCTTTTCTCTGAATTTGAGCCATTTGGTGGTGTATTCATTTTTGGCTAGTTGGTTGAAGAAGACTTCTGCAACTATAAGATCATGTACTTCCCTTTACTGTAAGGTACTTCTGTGATAATTTCTATCC